ATATATGAAATTTTTAATGAAATAATACTATATGGTTATAAATAGTCTAAAAATATATTAGGATATTTAAAGGGGTCAATTTTTTTTATTTTTCTTCAATTTTTTTAATTTTTTAGTATTTTTTCAGTCAGGCTAAAAAACCATTCCGATTCTCAGTCTAGCTCCGGGTTTCAGCTTAATGACTGTTCAACTCCAGTCCAATCCGGCTCAATCATTTGAACCGTTTTTTGGTTTAAATCGAACCGTTAAGGAGTCCGGTTGACGGTTTAACCGATCTGATCGTCCGGTCCGGTCCGGTCCGGTTCTTTAATCATTGATACACGCCATCGTATATATGCATCAATTAATTAATCGTGCAATAATTGACAGTTGACTCTAGGAAGCTGTATTTTGGCTTCACATGAATATAATGTCACTTTCAGGTGAGAAGGTCAAAAGTGAATTTAAATGCGAGACGCTTGGGCTTCATATTAATGGGCTCGCCAGGTTGCTTATCTCCTTCAAGCTTGATTAGCAAGCAAAGACCGGTGATCACTTAGGCCGTTTGGGAGATGCATGACAATCGCATTGGACTGCGTTGAGATCCCCTTTTGACTGCTAAGGGCTCTATCTAGTCTTACAAATAAATTACCTCTTTTCCATGTAAACCTTGGGCCGGTGTAGCCCTGGTCTGGTAAGGTTGCTGCTTGTATGAACTTTTTAAATGCCTTGTTGCCCATGATAGGGTGTCTTGCTCTATCTCTTCATTCTTTATTAGAAGTACTGGCGTTGAAATCCCTAGCTAGTATGCTTTTTGGTCCCCAATATTTAACTGTAGCAGGTCCCTCTATAAACGATCCCGGAGTATTGGGGCTAGGACTACCATATATTGCTGTAAAGAGGAAAGGTAGTTTTCCGTCCGCATCACAAATGCAAGAGTGAATGAACTGGTTGTGGTTTACCAATATTTGCACTTCCACCTGATTAGTCCACAATAGCTGAATACCACTAGAGAAACCTTCTGACTCAATGCAGTGTGAGTTAAGATAGTCAAGTTTTTGAATAGCTTGGTTTGTTTTGTATCTAGAGATTATTGGTTCAGCAAGAGCAATGATAGCTAGTCTAAAGCCCTGCAAAAGGGACTTTAAAATTGTATGGAAATTCCAAACAAACACGGATTGATTCGTAAGGTATTTATGACTTTAAAGTCGTCTTGCTTATATTGACAAAACATGCACTTCTTCGTTTTGAAATGAAAGGGAGAAACTCTGGATGGAGGATTTTCATGATACATTCTTTGGCCTACGTACGAGACAATCATGATTTTGGAGTCATAATTAATTTTAGTGTATATACTACCTCTTATTCTAAATATAAGACCTATTTTATTTGACATCGCAAAGTGTATCTTATATTTAGAACCGAAAGTAGCATTTGATTTTGAATTTATAATTTATTTTGAGATGTATGCATGATAAATTTTTTTTTTTTGTTAATTTCATTATACTCGAGCACCAAAAAGACGCAGCTATCAAATGAAATGACACGGCTATCGGCCTATATTGCGCTTTTGTGCAGTGCCACTGCCATCTTTGTGTTATCAAGGGACTGATTTTGGTACTGATTACAGTGATAAACATTATAATACTCATTAAATTTTAACAGTTCAAATTTATGGGTAATATGAGTAGTCGAGATTTAATTTTTTATATTTTTAATAGGCATATAATTCAAAATAAATGTAATATTTTAACTCTTAATTTTTTAAAAACTAAATTTTTAGTTAAAAATTATTTGTTTAAAATTTTCAAATTAGACCATTCATACTGAATCTTAATAGTATTGATTTTACTATAGCGATAAGTATCATGATATTTATCATTGCAATAAACACCAAAACTAAGTTAACAAATATCTCATACACATGGACATACTCTTTCGTGATGATTTGCGCTAAACGTTTTATAAAATAAAGAAAAATATATGAAATATGTAATTTGCATATAATTGGTTGGAAAAAAATTGCATATTAGGGGGGAAAATCTTTAAAACGACAATAGTTAGCTGCATATTTTTAGATCTTTTAGAATTTAAGATAAACCAAAAAAAATACCAGAAGAAATAAATCCCATATGTACTTCTATTTTTTCATTATATGTATATATATAAACCAAACAGACGTAAGTACTAATCAAGGCTGACGTTCAATTTTTCTTTTTTTGTTAAAAACCAACATCAACCTAATTAGAATTGATATGTATTTCCTCTCGTACTTATTGTAAGAGACTGCTAATTAATTCATACATGTTGATAAAAGCAGTAAATTTATTATAAAATTTAAGTGATTTTTAATATTATTCTCATTAACTACACTAAATTTTAATATCATATTAATTTCTACTTTCTTATTTTTTTTACCTTTATTAAGTATGGATATACATAAAAAAAAATTAATACTCATTAAAACTATCGTATAAAAAGAATAAAAAAATTTCTCAAAAGAGTTTCTTTTTTTTGGGGACAGACTCATAAGAGTCTTATAATAAAAACCGAACAGAATAATATTATGTGGAAAACGGACATGGCAGAAGATATGACAAAAACAAAAACACATACACATAATAATATTCCACATGTATAATGATATATATATTTGTGAACTTGTTAAACACGAAAATATATGAAGATGAGCATTATAATTAGTCATGAATAAGTAGTAAAGTGAAAGTACAATTAACTTTGATGAGTTATTACTAGAGCAGCAAATACGGAAATGAAGTTGAAGATTGCAGAAACTGTACAACGCTTAATCCTCCCTCTACCGTCGTCGCGGCCACCTTCTTCTTCGTCTTCTCCTCTTCACTGTCCGCAAAAGCTCTCATCCTTGTATCCACCATTAATTGACTATGCTCTGATCTCAGATATTATATACTCTTTTGCTTTTTAATATAAGACCTATTTAACTAATTTGATTAAATTAAAAAAATTAAGTAAGTTAGTCAATTATAAAAAATATAACATGTTTTTTTTAAAACACCATGATCATCTTTCTTAATATCTTTCCCCTCTCTTTTACTTGATTATGATTGAAGGAGTCTTCATAGGAATACTTTAGAAAAAATTAATAAATATGAAAAATATAGGATGAAAATCAACTCAATAATTAAATCTTATATTAAGGACAGGAGGAGTAGCAATGAATAATGACTCTTAATTGCTAATTGATGTATATGGGGGCGCATGTGTCTATATATATGTACAGACGCTTATATATGGTGGGAGGTATAAGAGACATTGTTAATTTGTATCACTATAGAGGGACATGTCAGATTGTGAATTTAAAGGATGAGTCCCGTTTGGTTGACATATTACTAGCTCCTCTCCTAATTATAACATCTCATTTACAGTTTACAAATAAGATTTTACAATTAGAAGAGGAAGTAATATAACACATTGAGAAAATGTATTGCTCATTCAGTATCCATTGCTGTAATGCGATGCATGTAAACAACGCAAAATATGATGTCAACGATAGTTCAAATTTAAGATTTTTAATATATAATTTTGCAATGATAAATTTATTTTTTTAAAAGGCGTTAAATCGACGCATGCCAGTTGTCCTACGTTTTCAGATGACAAATTAAATGGATTTGAACTTAATAAAATTCATGGTTAGTTAATAAAATTGGACGTATTCAATGTACAGACGTATTTTTCTTACCTATCATTGTTGACCATCAACGAGATTATATTGCACTAAGCATTCGGTTGACAAGTTAAAATAGTACTAATCTTAATATAAGACTTAGTTAGCTAATTTGGAGAGATTAAGAAAGTTGGTTAAGTTTATTATTTGTAGTAAATAGATGTTGTCTTTTCTAAAATATCCTTATTAATCATGTGAGTTGGAATTACAAATTGATAGTAAATCCTTACCATATACAATTGCTATAGGGATTACTAGAGGGTAAATTGGTTTAAAACACTATACCTAATGGCCTTGCAGAATCTTTTCCGACAGAATTTCAGCAAGGTACATGCAATTCACAAACTAGTCGAATCAAGATTCAGTGAAGATGCCAAGTTCAGAAATTGACTCTTAGACAATTCCTCAAAATAAACATACAAAGATTTTCCAGCAATCTACAATGACAACAATCAGTGAACCAATCAGCAGCTTAAGATTTATAGCAACCAACAACAAAAAAACAATTGAGACTTGTTGCAAGATCCCACAGAAAGCTTAAGACAGTGAGTGCTTCAGCAATTGATAATCAAAGCGCACAAAGACTTCAGCCAGTAACCAAATGAGCATTCAAGGAGAAATTGTCAAGAACTAATAGACCCCTCTAGTATCAGTTAAGTGCACCGCCAGAATGAAGAACATAGGAATCCAGTATGTGAAAAATATGTGTGCGCATAAATGGGGGGAAAATTCGAGTGGGTGAAAGTGATTCAGTTAAGCTTGGTGCAACGCAATTCTGGGCAAGGGAAGTGAAAATTCAGTAGCTCAACTAGATTAAAATCAATACAGCAGGTGAAAATGCACAAATAATGATCATGCAAGTGTATAGAAATTGAACTCTAGGAAATGAGCGAATAATGATCAGTAGCTCAACTAGATTAAAATCAAAATCGATTTTTAAAGTTATAACCACCACCTTTGAAATATCACCCAAAAACTTTCATCACAAAAGGCATAAATTGTATACCAGTATTTGGTGCAGCAGCAGCAGCAAGCTGCAACCTGTTCAAAATGAAGCTTTCATCAGCGAGAAAATAAAAAATAGTGTCGATAAAGCTCATGTTCGAAAGCAGGATAAAAAGAGGGAGAATGAGGAGAAGAAGAATAATAATAAACCAAATTAGATTTTGCGAGTTGAAAGCATGGACAACGAAAATTTCCTGATCAAGATGTCCTTTCCGTCTTCTTTAGACTGGAAGAAGAAGGCAAAAGCGGGGAATGTCTCCAAGCTTTCTCCAACACCATCATTTCACAACTCCGTAAGACAAATAGGAATAAAGCAGAGGATAAAGTCTTCTCAGACAGGAGATAACAGGAGCGACTTGAAAGATCACGCAGATGAAAGCACCAATAATAGTCCTAAGAGGAAGGGTAAAAGCAGGTACTGTAGTAATTTTCTTCGCAGAATCTGATTTAAAAAAGCAGATCACCAAAGATACTATTCCTACGTAAAACAAATTTTCCCAGCTGTATATTACCAACTGATGCACATATGATATATTGCTTCCAATTTCACCAGGTACGCTGATGGCATTTTCTCGCTAGGTTGCTGGCCCTTCCTTTTTTCTTCAAGAACAAAGAAACAGGGAGGATCAGGATGAGATTTAAACAGGGATGCTTGAAGGGTGCCAAAATTAAAAACACGTTGGATGGAAAAATAGCACAGTTAGAAACTTTTGAGGCACCCATAAATTCTTTAATTGGAGTTGTAGCATTCACTAGATTCTTTGATAATCAAATCTGTTCATCTCATGTGATGGAAGGAAGGATGAAGAAACTGTCCACAGTGTATAGCATAATCAATGCTTCTTGCAATGTATCGCCTGGAAAATTGTTATAGCCAGTCCAGAGAGCATATGAATAAGATTGAGTTGAAATCGCCCTTGAGAGCATGCATTGCATTGTGAATTCTACTTTGCTCCTGTTTTCCTCTAGCCCTTCAAAGATTGATACAAAAAAAGGGGAATCACGAAGCACCAATCAATTGAAAAACTAAATAAACGTGTTGGAAGAATTAAGAATTTCCATTTCACGTCTAACACTTACATGAAACATTGATTTTGTTAAACTCGCTTGCAATATCATTATTGTTATTGTACAAGGTTGCTGTAAGTCAGGACAACAAACTCCTATTGAATATTGACTAGCTTGTCAGACATCAGAGTTTGAAGTTAGGACTTAGGAGTCATCATCGTCGCACAACTGGGGCCCCCTTACTTTTGCCCTGCTCAAGAAAAATACTGTTATTAGGTTATTATTATAGCAGTAGGACTAGTAAAGTTTTGGGAGAATAATACTAATATTAACTCTTGCCTGCGATGAGCTGGCACCACACGGTTCTTAACTTTTGTGGAGCCTGTATCTCGAGTTGCTTGCTTTTCTGAAAGCCAATAATTATCAGGGGAAAATTGTTAAGAATTGCAAAGAAAGCCTGAATGAAATCAGAATATTGCATATGCATGCATCTCAAAAAGGGCAGGGGAAACCCTTTTTTTTTTTTTTTCCAATTTCATTCACCCAAAATTTATTTATACTTGAGTCTTGATACATATAGATCCAAGACCATTATTCTCATTTTCCTAGAAGACGTAACCAGAAAGCCTAAATTATGTGGATACGCCTAAATATCATATTATATTAACCACGAAGCAGTCTGCTGAATTTGGTTCCTCAAAAACAAACTATGCCTTTAGTTATATTACACAGACAAGTCAGTAAGCCCTTCAGAGATACGTGGAGTTACAGCTTATGAACTATTCACTTGCAGGCAAACATGAAGAACATACTTTAGTTGGACAGAGAACTCACCTGGAGAGTTTTGCAACCCATTAGTAGAGACATCTGCTTTATCTGAGACACTAATCTTTTGAAACTTCTGTCTCTGTTCCAATTGTTGCATGCTTTCACCTTTTTCCTGACAAACAGAAGATGTTCACTAATAAGCAGAAAGTTGCATAAAGGAAACAGATTCCAATTTTACTAAGTTTTTATTAGCAGGATAAGATTAACTTACAAGTTTCAACCTACATTCTAACCATCAGAAATTGAAAATACACGTCATTCTTTCCAATCTTAAAGGCGTAAGATGGCCAAAAGTTTCCCATGACTTGGATGAAATGCAAAGCTATTCACCAAAAAAGAAAAAGTAATAGGCATGTCTAGTTTATAATTAAACCTCATGAGGCTACTGTACCTTTTCAGCTGCTATCGCCTTGGTCAACCGTGCGTTGGGCTCTTGCTCTGAAGGCACAATATATGAAGCTGAAAGTTAATTCTAGCAAAGACCAATATTGATATAATTTGGGTCAAAATTTAAGCCTACTCTGTTCCAATCTAATAAAGATGCATGTATAAACAACATAATCAATAGCTATGATACAAATAAGATTTTAAGAAGTTAAGGCGGATGCCATGCAATGAGTCTGACAGACACCTATCCAAAAAGACCATAGTCAGTGGCACAAATATGCACAAAATTATTGATACTGCAAGGTCGCAGGTCCTACCATTGAAATCAATACTTGGGACTAAAGAATGAGTTATATATTTCAAAAAAGAAAATATATTATATATTCCAGTTAGCACTAAAGAATGCAGGATTTCTTTTTTTGCTTGATCAAGAAAGAATGCATGATATTACATACGACATCTAACATGGAAAAAGAAACAAAAGCACAAGGATAATTTTATTTTAAAAAAAAAAAAACACTCAATCTTCTTCAACAAGCAGAAAAAAGAGTAAGGGGAAATATTAAGTATAGAAATATATACCGACGCCACCCAGTTGTTTAAGTAACTTGTACGATAAAACCACACATAGACTGCAGTATCATTGCTATTATCTGTCTGGCAAATAACAATAATAGCATGACCATTATTAAAACAGGTTAAGCACATATTATCCATAGGAAACATGATCTACATACAAAATCAGAAGATAATTTTTCTAAAAGAAAGAAAAAGCTCAAAATGCAACATATTTTCCCCAGTGAAGCACTATTTCCTGTTCAGCCTCAAGGGGATTTGTTTACATATAAGGTTCATGTGCCAATTATGCAATTAGGCCAACTCAACGTCATGATGTCATAGTCATTAAACTTCTAATGCTAGAAATAAAGACTAAAATCAAAATATTGTATTTTATTAACTATACAAATATAATTTCAAAAAAGCACAAAAAGATCAACATCTACAAATGTTCTTCAAGAAAAGGCTTTTGTTTTTTTTTTTTGGGGGGGGGGTGGGGGGTGGGGGGGGCGGCCTAAGGACAATGGTGTGACTGAAACCTTCTTTGAGAGAGTTCTTGATGCTTTTGGATGCATTAAAGAGCCTCAAGGATAAATTTGACATAACTTCTCTAGCAGCAGAGTCTGCAAGTTTAGTAAGAGGAATGCTAATCACAGGCATTCCTTTTGATTTCTGAGCAACCAATCTTGCTTTTCCATGAGAAACACCTGAGATAAAACCCACATATGGTGACCGTGCCAACATAAAACTACGTCTAAACACATACAGCATTCCTTTTCACAAGGATCATAGTGCTTCAAACAAACAATAGATGCGTACATACACCTCATATTCCAATATTGCAGAAAAGATAAAATCACAATCTATTTTTGAAGTTATAACCACCACCTTTGAAATATCACCCAAAAAAGCATCACAAAAGGCATAAATTGTATCCCATTATGACAAATTATCGAATAGAATAACAAATACCTAACAGTGGCAGGGAAAGACTATGAGTAATTTGCTTTTAAAACTAATAATGACACAATTCCCTCAATAGATGAAACAAGAGGGCTGTAAAGAGCAAATAAAAGGATGCTTTTGAGCTTACATAACATACATCCTATTCAATACTATCTTCCAACTGAAGAGCACAAATCTCTTCAATGATAACAACAGTTTTAGTTAACTCAATTGATTACGTTCAAAACCTCCTTTTTAAACCTAACATAAGAAATTTAAATCATTTATCTTGGGAATATTAGCGTTTCAGTTCATAGTCAAGAAACGATCCAGTAATAGCCTATCAACTTCCCTAGGCCTATATCTACAAGTAGCACTTTCGTGACACATTAACTTCAATGCCACAAAATATATCTTCTTTAATAATAATCACTTTCAAATTTTCAAAGGCAAAAAAGAGAAGGAATAATTACCGTCAAAATCAGAATTTCTCTCTACAACTAACTTCAGATCTGCTGACTTGATGGAAGTTATGAAATAGTCAAAAAAACTCTGACCAAGAGCCCCTTATTCCAGTGATGTCCCTCTGCACAGAAGCTAATATCAAACACCACAATGATGCTTCAGAAATGCTAAGCAAATTTACAATTAAGATGATATATATGCATATTCTCAGGATCAAAAGCATCCTCTCATTATTATTTTCCATAAAATCAAGAATATTAAAGAGAAAACAATTATGGTTGACATATACTCTCCTAAACAAACCAAATCTCTAGCTAGCAACATCTTCGCAATAGCAATATAAAGGCTTTAAAAACTGAAAATGAAGCAGAAGCAGGTATAAGGCAAATCAGAATGCTCACAATGTCCTCAAGTCGAGAGACTGAAAGATGAGCTTCCCAAGTCTCAGAATGGAAATCAGTGGCATGAATTACAAGGGGAGAAGAAACAGGAGCATATGCGTGGAGCAGGAACTGAGGCAGAGGAGAGGAAGTTTGAGCTGAGAACTCTACTTTGGGTTCGCAAAAAATGGGTTCGAAGTCCTCAAACTCCATTGCCATTCAACATGATCCCTCGCCAGCTATAATCAGTTACTCTCTAACAAAACAAGAACAACTTGAGTCAGACAGAATCCACGGCAATGTTTATGTGACATGTAGTCATGCATTTATATTTTCTATAACTTAAAAGTTAGCTATCTGGGGAACATCGGAAGCAATTTACTCCATAAAGACTTCTTTTCCCCGGATGCTTGGGTTAATATATTGCCGCAAGTTTATTTACAATGAATCCCTCTGTTGCAACGAGCTAGGATGTAATCAGAACTTGAAGGGGGGAAAAACATGTGAATAAAAATATTTCAGTCCAATCCCACAAAATCATTCCCATCAGAAGACATTATCTATTTTTAAAACCCAAAGAAACTCTTTTAAGTCAATCCTTGGCTTCCCTAGGAAGAGACTCCAATATCCTTTAATCTTTTTTCTCACTTAATAACCAAACAAAATCAAACAGAGAAACAAAAACGCAAAACTTAAAAGGTAAAAACTACAGGTAAATGACATTGGCAGCATAAGAAAGAGGAATGGCAGCAAACCCGACGACGTCGAAAAATAAGGAGATAGTGATTTGAAGCTTCAAGTTTACAACCGAACTCTCTCTCTCTCTCTCTGTGCGAGTACAAAATACAACTTTCGTATTGAAGAAGAAGAAGAGTGGCCACGTCCGGTGGCTTGGAAGAAACCGATATGATTTCCAGAGAAGCCAACGCTGCTCTCGACTCGAAGGCGAGTCGGCTTTTTTTTTTTTTTTTTTGGGAAAAAAAAACAGAGATTAAAAGAAAATCTCCTGTTTAAAGCCTCTTAAAAAGGGCTAAGCCCATTTTTATGTGGATTTTTTTTTCCAACGACCTTGTTTTATTTAAAAACAGGTTAAAGTGACTGAAGAAAAATGTTTATTTTATAGTGTTGATGAATCGAATTAGGATTCAAATAGTGTCATTAAATACGATTATTCAAATTTAAATGATGAATGTTCAGATGTTACCCCTAAAATTTGAGTTGTAAAATTATTATAAGCCGACCATTTGTGGTATGTGTTGTTTATACCTTAAATATTTGGTATTGATCTGCTCTTTATTTGTATGTCATTTTGTTGCAATTTTATTTGATACCTGAATTTACAAACATGTAATTCGATATTTCAAAAAAGCTTGCAGGTTATAACTTATAAGCTTGTGTGTTGAGGATCGAATCTCTTTAAATTGGAGTCTATTCAATTAAAAAAAAAAAATTTGTCTTGGGAGAATAACATTTAGGAGATTTAGGGAAATTTTTTGTTAGAAACTGGCTGTGTATTTTTAGATCCTGTAGTTAGAAATGTGTAGCAATAAGAGAAAGATAGACCAAAAAAAAATCCCATATACTTCTATTTTTTGTCATATACCCATTTCGTAAAGCCAACTCTAAAACAAATGTACTCTTCCGATCCTAAATATAAGACCCTTATACTAATGTATACTAGTATAAGGGTCTTATATTTACATTAGTATAAGGGTTTTATATTTAGAACCAGAGGAGTATGTGCGAATCAGGATTGACTTTCAAATTGTTTCTGAAAACCAAAACATTCAATTTTAGATTAAGCTAACATCAACCCGGTTAGAACTAATGGGATTTTATGAAATTACAGATATTGCAGTATATTTACAAGAAAGAGCAAGAAAATGATGATGACAACAAAATAAGCATAAAACATAATATTCCATGCGTGTGATAACACACACACATTTGTGAAACTTGTAATAAAACACGAAAATGAAGATGCGAAAAGAAATACTGCTTATTACAAAGACTTGTAGCATGTTTTTTGATATAATACATTTTATTTGAAGTAATAATTATTTCTCTTTTCAATATCTGTGATAGGCTATAAAACTTTCTAGAGAGAATTACAATAGAATCCTAAGAAAAAAGAATAATTACCAAGAACTCCTGATAACCAATAAGCAGTTGTTAATTCCTATAACTTGTCATTATAGACTGCTGTATTATCACCGGGCAATTTCAGTAATCATGTTGATTCTTGGAATTTCATAACAATTCTCCCAACTTTCTAATTAACTAAACTAACTATTTTGGCTAATGATTTTACGTAAAATGACTAACATGTCATGGTAAATAAGACTGAACGAAACATAACGATTCATGAGTGAGTAGAAGAGAGATGACTAGGTGGAAGTATGATTAATCAGAAGGGTTCGATCTGTGTATTGGTTGGGGGGGCGAGCAGCAAATACAAGAAATGAAACTGATGATTGCAGAAACTATACTACGCTTAACCCTTCCTCTCTTAGGCGGCGTCACCGTGGCCGCCGCCGCCACCGCCTTCTTCCTCGATTTCGTCTGCTGATCAACTACCGAAACTCTCAACCTCGTATCCGCCATTAATTGGCTGTGCTCTGATCAGTGAAATTGTATATAATGAACTTTTGTTGGTATTTGTGCGTGTCTCTCTGTCTCTCTCTATTTATATGTGGCGGG